TCTCTCTCTCTCTCTCTCTCTCTCTCTCTCTCTCTCTCTCTCTCTCTCTGTGTGTGTGTGTGTGTGTGTGTGTGTGTGTGTGATATGATCCAGGTGACAAGGGAAGGAGAGTCCAATGCGGCTCAGGAACCCAGGATTGGGTTACAAGGTCAATCGTTGGATGCAAGTGGAAACTCCTCGTAATTGGGAATTATCGCCCGGATCGATATGCTGATTATCCGGCAGACAGTGGAAAACGCATAGTCTGCAGATGGAAGCATCAAAGTAGGAGGGCATCTCAGGGGCAGTGGCAGTATGGTGGAACGGGACGTTGAACACCTCCCTTGACTGCTGGTGTGGTCCACCCATCGCAACAGGTATGTGGTGAAGTTTGGAGGGTAACAACTACTTTTATGGTCAATTAATATCATCATCGTTCATTCAGTTATCTGTGGCCTGCGGGATTCGGTGACGATGTGGAGGCGAGGGCTATCATCATCATCAGCAGCAGCAGCAGCAGCAGCATCAACATCAGCATCAGCATCAGCCATTCAGCATCATCTTCTTCTTCTCCTATATGGGGTTAGAAAGAGGGAAGGGTGGAGGTAGGGGAGATGGGGCGAGAAGGGAGGAGGGTGGCTTACGGTGGGCTTTGCGGTTCATATGGAAGTGTACCGTGGGGTGGAGGGATAGAATTCCCTCCAGTGAGGGGATCGACTTTAATTCTGTGGAATTGAAGTCTTGAGATAATATTAAAATTTATTAGAATTTGAAAGGAAGTTTGAGCTCAGGGATTTTCCGTGTGCTCAATTTGTGGGAAACCTGTCTTTTATAATCTTTTTAGATATTCTACTATAACAATTTTAGGTATTCTACTACTTTTCTGATGATAACTGAATCTCGTTGTCATTTTGGAATTACTGGTTGCTACTTTTCTGATGATAACTGAATCTCGTTGTTATTTTGGAATTACTGGTTGAAGGTCTTTGGGGATATTCTACCAATTATATTCTCATATAATTTTAGGTTTCAACAACTTTCACGTTATGTAATAAGGAATAAGCATGGTATAGTTTCTGACCTTGCTTTTCATCATCATTTTCTTCATCAAAGTTTAAAATCTTGGTAAATGGGGATGGTGGAGCCGTTTTCCAGCTTTTAGCGGGTGTGATGTCTCGTAAGCCGAACCGGGGTAAGGGCCCCGGTATCATCGGTTGTATATTGGGCCCTTTTTCTTAGGAAAAAAGGGGATTAAGAGAGGAATGCAGGTTGGGGTAAGGGCCCCGGTATCATCGGTTGTATATTGGGCCCTTTTTCTTAGGAAAAAAGGGGATTAAGAGAGGAATGCAGGTTGTTTACCAGAAGAACAAGGAAGAACGCAAGCGAAATGTATAGTCTGCAATTAGTACTCAAATCGCAGTCCATTCAGCTGCATTGCTTAATTGGTAGACAGACTGCTTATACACGAGCTGTCAAAGCAGTTAAAACTTCAAACTTGTAGGTCATTCCCTTTTTAATTGATTAATGATTAATTCAGTTTAATTGTAAAGTTGTAAGTTGTGACCCATAGGATTGTCTTGCCTGCTCATATACCCCTACACATGTGAAAGATGGTCGGCCATGGGCTCGATCCCGATAAGATGCTCCGCGCCAAGCGGCGAGGTCTGTGGTCATCTACTCTGCTCGAGGTCTGTGGACATCTACTCTGCTCGATATAAATCGTCGGATGGTGGGATTCAGTAGCTGAGCCTCATCAACAAGATGAAATCTGTCGACATTCGTAGTGTTCCTGCTATGTTAATCGTTGATCTGAAATGAATCGAGAGTTGTCTATCGCCATTGGCCCTTTGGGTACTCGGCATGGCAAATGACAAGAAATGTTTTCTGTCGTCGTCATTTGTGTGTTTGTGTGTCATTTCTTTTGTCTGTCGCGGGTTGCAAAATGAATTAAAAAAAAAAAAGGATGGAAAACTGCTCTTCCAACTCCTTAGTGTGTTACGATTTTCAAAAAAGCATGCCTCCTTTTCTTTTCTGTATGTATCTGGCATTCTTTTACGGATGAGGTCATTTCAAGAACCTAGTTTTATGGTATGATCCAGCCGGGTAATGGTCAAAGCCTCCACGTTCAGAATCTGAATGCATTGAAGCGCGTTCAATGAACGTGCGTGAACAAGGTGAACGCGCTTGCGGCTACCTCGAAACGCTGTGAGGCGTGGGGAAGGTCGGCAGGGGGGGCTCATGGGGGTCGGGAACGGGCGCGAACAACCCTACAGGCGATGCTTTACAGAGGGGTTTATTTGGAGGCATCATGCTGTGACTTTGAGGCATTTATGTGGCCTGTGTAACCGCTTATTCATTGAACGCGGGTTCCGCGTTCAGAATCTGAGCGTTGAAGCACATTCAATTAACGTGCGTAAACAAGGCGAACGCGTTTGCGGCTACTTCGAAACGCTGCGAGGCGCGGGGAGGGTCGGCGGGGGGGGCTCGTGGGGATCGGGAACGGGTGCCAGCAACCCTACATCCTGTAAAATAATAAAAAATGATAAACTTACCTGCATGCATGCGCGCGTGTGCACACACACACACACACACTCGTAGAAATGCGTGTGTGCCCGAAAGGGACCTAGTAATAGGAAAGCACTGACAATCTCATTAGTGATTGGGAAGGGGTCTATGCATTTGCACAACGCAGATTTCATTCTACGACATAGAGACAACTCCCGCCTAGGGGGAATTTAATATTGGATCTAGGAGGAATTTAATATTGGATCTTTGGACTTCCATCTTTCCAGAAATCTTTCTTGTAAATGCCACGATCTTATTACTTATCTATGGAGTGATTTTGAGCACTTGCGCGCGCGTGCACACACACGCACACACTCATAGAAACGTGCGCGTGCACACACACACAAAAAGAGAGAGAGAGAGAGAGAGAGAGAGAGAGAGAGAGAGAGAGAGAGAGAGAGAGAGAGAGAGAGAGAGAGAGAGAGAGAG